GCTGTTCTTCTGAACAACATCATCATCCCCTACAATTTTCATTTGGCTTGATACACAATTCTGATTTCAATTGACTGACACAACAGTTCAATTTGTTAACTCGTTGACTTTGATGTTCATGGAACTTGAACAGATTAACTTTATTGGAAACTTCACTACATCATGACACACACTTGTTTAGTTTTAATTACCTACGTGGAGAAAATGACGTGTTTAAGTGATACAAACACGTTCATCTACACCAACTGAGTCTAAATAATCATTATGGTTCGTACAGTTGTATAGATTTTGCGTTTATTTTTCATCTGATCGATCACCAAGGTGGGTCACTAAAGGTCTGATTATTGGCTAATATCAGGCAAAACACTGCCATCTTCCCAACGAATGAGAACTCGATGCCTAAATCTCTCAGAACAACTGTTTTCAAAGACCCTGAGCTGTAAAAATATTTCAGTCATCAGAATCTAGCGGCTGTATTTACTGACCTTCGGCAAATTCGCTGCGGTAGCTTTGGAGCAGTTCGCTACGCTCGGGATCGCATAACAAGTGAAGTCGTAGACATAAAAGAACTTAAGGCTGATACTAAAGGTAAAAAGTCTGAAGAAGAAGAAGAGTGGAACGATATCGTTAGGGAGATAAAATTCCTTTCTCGCCTCTCCTACAAAAACTGCGTACTGCCGAAAGGATGCTTCATGAAACAGCAAACTCCATGGTTTATCATGGAATACTGTATTCTGAGCTCAGTTGTAGATGTTTTAGAAGTGCATAAAAAAACCAATTCTGGAGAATGAAATCGCTTTTATCGTCCAGGAAGTACTGACTGGTCTTGATTACCTACACTCTGAGAAAAGAATTCATCGAGACCTCAAAGCAGCTAATATATCTTACTAACCGAATCTGGTGGCGTAAAGATTGGCGATTTCGGATCAGCTAGTTTTGTGAGTCCGGCCAACAGCTTCATGATACAAATTCAATAAAATACTTCTCATAGTAGCATCTTAATGACTCATTGCACTCTGTTTTTATTTAAACACTTACCATAAGCGGTACAATTCAATTGAACATTTTCACCATCTTTAATCGTGACATGATTGGTTAAATCATTTTTACCGCCAATTTTCAATGTGATTCGTTCTTCACCACCTTAAAAAAAAAGAAATTTCGTAATCAGTGCTGAATATTTTAAAAGAATAAATTAATGAATGAACCTTTTGATAAAAAACACGCATGAAGTTCCGTTGAATGAATATGAACCTTCACAGGTTTTTCAAAGGCTATTGTACACAGCTTGATAGTAACAATTCAGTCAAGATATACTTGTTAGTTACCAACTCTGAAGACTAGTCAATGTTTGCTATACACATAACTTGTATAAACATTACTAAACAGTTGAATAAACGAGTTAGTGAAGATCGACCGAAGCTGCTACCTTGACATGGTGGTGGGCCTTGCTTATCGTGATGACCCAACCGAGCTATACTGGCTGCAACTTATGTTCCTGAAGGTTCTACCATGCCAGGAAGGTCGATTGGAGAACGATGAGACTAAAAGCAGCTACTCAAGGTCTGAGGGCGAAGTTGTACTGCTGACTGTGATGGAGAGGTTTGACAGCAGTAAGGTGTTTCCCTCGGATAAACAGCATCTGCAGCGATGCTGCCGACCCTAAAAATGTCACACCTCACCCTACCTCAACCTACCTCGGTAAGGGTGCCCACTAAGGGCTTTCAAGAGTGGAGCTAATACTCAAAAAACCCTTTATAAAAAGGCCGTGCGTGACCGGCCTCAAGCAGTTGTCGCTTGGGCTCTGCGGTCACGCTCCCAGGTCTCTAAGACCAACGTTAATATACCTTCCTTTTCAGGTTCCTCAACAAACAACCTTCCACGGTGTGGGCAGCCGGGAAGTGACAACCGCCCTCATACCCGTAACAGCATGCGAGACCAAATTGATCAAAATCAAATCCATCCTACCCGTTAGTGAAGATCTCACTTATATGATATAGAAAGCTATGCCGCTCTTGACTTGTCTGATGGCCAGGCTGACCTCTTCAATTGTTGGTGGGCCAACATCGATTGGGAGGTCCGCGGGTGCTGCGTCGATGTTGGGTGGTTTCAGTGGGGCTGATCGATTCATGAGTTCCTTAAAATCGACTACCCACATGATTCGCTGTTCTTCAGTGTCGCTGATTACTTTGCCTTCCTTACTTTTCTCTGGTCGTTAGATAGACAAGGTTGACTGCTTGTTGATAATTCGCTTTTCTAAATTTAAATGAGATTTATGTTAATCGATATTAATATTTACTTAATTAAATACTCACGCCTGTTACCCACAACGAAGCATAAGACAACGAACAGCATTCTTCAGCCTACTTCATCCCGGGCCTTCATTTCCTGTTCTACTTAACTGCTGTTCATTCTTTCCAGGCCTGTCTCCGTTTCTCGGCAAAATGTGTTTCTTAGTCTTCCTCTTTTCTTTTGACCTTGAGGATTCCAAATGAGTGCTTGTCTTCCAACGCAGTCGAGTGCTTCCTACCTCCACCACGTTTCCCTGATTTCCTGCTCAGACAGTGCGAAGACTGAGGCAGGCGCGGAAGACCGTATCACGAAAATTTACACTCGTAGTCAATTAAAAACGAAAACATTACATTGAACACTCCTCTATTTGCACACCATCTTTGAGTCGTGACTTCCAACGCTCCATCGTTCTTCCATTCCTGTTGTTGCTTCCTTTCCTTTCTCTGTTGGTACTCTATTTACTTCTTGCTTTTGTTCCATTTGCTTTCCGTTTTCCTCTTCTGACCGTGAGAATTCTTCTTCTTTCATGTCCCTTCTCATACTACTACTTATATAGTTCGTATAAGTAGCACACACCACAGTAGGATTTATTTCGTTCTCTACGACAGTAGGTTGATGCCGATAGTGTCTGGTCAACGGATCCTCAGAATCTTGCGTAGACAACTGTTAATGAACACATTTATCTTCCGAAGATGGCCTTCGTGGTTGTCCAAGTATCGGCTCCGCAGAGCAGGACTGTCTTGACATTTGTATAGAAACTTCTGAATTGGATGTTGGTTGACAGACGGTTGTTTTGAGTTTTTGATGTTATGAAATTGTAGAAATGTTGCCCTTGCTTTGCCAATCCTCAATTTCACCTCTGCATCAGATCCACGTTGCTCATCAATCATACTGCCCAAATATGTAAAGGTCTCCACATCCTCCAAAGCTTCTCCGCACTAGTCACTAATCATCTTTGCTAATTAAAAAGTTTTCTTAACTTATGCTCAAAAGATACCAAGATAACTGTACACTTTAAGAGCATGATCACTCAGATCTTTCAATAATTCAATGAAAATAAAAACGATCGACATTCAATCTTACCTCCACTGATCCATTTCACTGCACCTGGTTCAATATCCGCGGTTTTCGCTGGGGCAAATTTATCATTCCCACTACCACTACTACCGAATACACGAAAACTAAAATCAGATGAAATATAACGCGCGGTATTATTCACTGCAATACAACGCAGTCGTAATTTATTCGCTATTGATGATAAACCATAATATCGCAATTCATTGTGATTCATTTCAACTTGATTAGCGATTAGATTTGGATGAACACGTTCACCATTGATACGTTCCACTTCCCATGTGTAAGTTGCATCCGGTAGAATAAATTGTAAATAACCATCTAAGGAATAAAAAGAGAGACAGGCAAAAAATACGACATGGGTTAGCTAATCAATTGTTGAGCAATTTTAGATCCCCAGAACTCGCTTGATAAATATCTTTAATTTTGGATTTATTTCATGAACCAATCAGTTGACCTTGAGATCAGATTTCCCGACAGGAAAATCCTTGGCTGTGATTGGTTACTGTGTCATTTTAGTGTGCTATTTTGTGATTCTATCAAGGACGTCTCTATGGCGGAGTATAAATAAACGTGATTTGTGTGATTGGATTCATTGTGTGCTGGCTGGATGTTTGTAGAATACAATTTCTACGCTATATCAAGACTTCTTGCTGGTACAATTTGGTCAAGGGATCACAGTAGCCTACCTGGACGCTGGTTCACTGTTTCGTTCTCGTTATTCGATTAAGGTGAACTCTTAATAGTTTCAAGCATACCTACAGACGAGTATGACATCAATAATACATAATATTAATGTATGTCATATCACCCAACTGCGTCACAAGACAACGCCTCACTTGGAACCTTCAATGTCAAAGGAAAAGAGAAAGACCCAAAGAACACATTACACTGAGAAATGAAGAGTGACATGAGAAGGATAAACAGTAATTGGATAGAACTAGAAAGGAAGATCCAGTTTAGAGTAGGTTAAATAATTCTGGTCACTGGCCTATGCTCCGTTGGGAGTAACAGGCGTAAGAAAGTTAGTAAGAGGTAACATAGTGTACGTCAGGCTTCGATTTATGAGACAGGAAATAAGCTCTATACTTTTTTAACCGAAAGATATGATAGAGTTTCGTTCTCTGAGCTGAATGTTTTGTTTGTGAAGCTTTCATTGTTCTACTACTGAACAACATCATCAGTACAGACTTCAATTAGAAAGGAAGTATTTGAATTTCTCCACTCAAGTATGACTCGCAGATTGTTCTGTTGACCTCGATCTTGATTGGTTGTTACTGATCTTCAACCTGTCACATTTTCCTACGAGAATTGTCAATGTTCTTCAAGAGATTAACATTCCTAGTGCGATACATAGTAAGAAATAGAGTCCCTGGTCAGTTGGACGTAAATCTAGCCTTGTAACTAAGTAACTAACTAACATTTCATTTACTTCGAAATCAAGAATTGATCCATGTGTCTAAGTTCGCTATACTAGGCTGAAACAACCATCCAATGATGACGTGTTTCAAATGTTCGTCTAACCTTAATCGATTCATGCTATGATGAATGACACTCAACAATCTTCACAACTCGAAAATGAAAAAAAATACAACTTACCATATGCATTACAAGTAATTGTCCCATTGGAACCATGTTGATTTTCAATTAAACCGGATTCACTCAGTTCATTGATACGTACATAGACTTGATGAACTAGAATACCGAAGAATGAAGACAAAACGAAGAACATCGTTACATCAATCGATAAATACTTGTCGAAAAATGCGCTCATTAGTGACTAGTTTCGTGAGTTTCTCGGAGTTCTAGTTGGAAGAATTGACCAGTGAAGTTCAACCCTGTCAAGTGTAGGCAGTAACTACGAAACACAATGGGTGAGGTCGAGCGAAAATTGTTAGGTTGATCAGAGTTGGACGATAACATCCGTTAAATACCGGCTCAGTGGTCCAGAGGTTACGCGTTAGCCGGCGTGGGGCCGGAAGTCCTGGGTTCGAATCCTGTGAGTATCAGGGGTCATAGATACGCACTGCTGAGTCCTATGCCAGGATGAAACAGCCGTCCAGTTCTTCCAGGTTTCTAGTGGTGGTCTAACAATGATTTCAAGGTAAAATCCTCGAGCTCATGTGCACCATCAGTTCGAAGTGAAAGGTTCTCAACTTCCCTCTGTGGATCCTTCATACCTACCAAGTCGGTGTAAGCCTCCTAATGGACATTGGCTTTTGATTTTGTCTGTTTTGGAAACAACACTCTCGCCACCAGAAGGCAATGAGAATAACTTTCATTGTACTTGCTATGTACGTGTAGGCATATGAGAAAATTCAGTGATGGAGAGCGCATTATCTCTCCCACTCTTGGCCGTATCAGTGCTTTTAGGTCATATCACTCATTTAGCAAGTTGTACTGGGTACTATAAAAAACTCCCATTCTGTTAAATACATGAACATGAATGAGTAAGTGCTGTAAACTTATTTAAAAATAACTAATACTGTAACTTAACAAGTTTCCTATCTAAACATTTTATGATTAAGTTAATTTACATATCTAGATGACAAGATTGAAATCATGAACTGATCAATGTTAGACCATCAGTAGAAACCTGGAAGCACTAGACGGTTGTTTCGTCCTATTATGGGACTTGTCAGCAGTGCGCATCCACGAACCCTGCATACTAACCCTGGGCATTCGGTTTCGCGTGTGGATGCTAAACCTCTAAACCAGTGCAGTGACCTGACATCCTTCAGGTTTAATGTCTAACTTCAATCAAACCACAGGATTGCGCAACCTCATCACTGGGCACTGCTTTGTATGCGACAGGATTGGATTTCACTGGTCACAAATTTCTCACCAGTGCTTTCAGGTTTTTAATAGTAGTCTAACATTGATCGATTCATGGTTTCAAAGAGTAACTCAATAATCTCCATAACCCTATAATGAAAAAAGTATTCAGTTTATACAACTTTAAACAGATACAACGCAGAACTTCGTACGTAAGTACATCAGTTCAGGTTGCCATGCCCCATCAACACAAAGACGCAACTGTCAATTTAAATCCAAG